CTCTAGATATTTTTGCGTCCAAACAAAATATACGTAGTAGGATGAAATTCACTATATCATGCCATACATAGCCCTGTATTTATTGTTAAGTCCTAACAATAGATTAAATAATTTTGCTCCAACTAAATATAGTGACACTAGTGTTATGTCTTGTCAACTATTTTCTAATCAAAAGACTCATGGTAGAAGAAATCCGTTCACATACTTTTCAAAAACAGATTTTCCATTATATAGACTAAGTGAAATAAATAGCGAATACTTACCATTTTGTGTTTCATCATAACGAACGATAGGATACCACAACTTCTATGATTTTCTATAGAACATACACTTTGAAGTATGAAGCACTAGATCGCTGAGTATAACTTTTTGAGATAAAGAACTTATACCAAACATTTATAATTGACAAAATTTCATTAATTTACAATGGAACCTAAGTGATATAAAATAAACTGTAAACAAACATACAACATGTGTAAAGTGAACTTTAAATATTTATAGACACAAACCATCTGTGACGAATATTATAACAAACAAGAAACACAAAGAATTTGTTATATATAGGCCTAATAGTGTAAAGGATGGTCACATGGCATAAGTCACAGATTAATTAAGGTTCATGGAGTATTCCAAGAATACTGGGCCTGTTGGTCCCAGTTGGTTATAGTATTCGTCACAGATTAATTAAGGTTCATGGAGTATTCCAAGAATATTGGGCTTCTGGCTCCCAGTTGGTTATAGTATTCATCACAGATTAATTAAGGTTCATGGAGTATTCCAAGAATACTGGGCTTGTGGCTCCCAGTTGGTTATAGTATTCATCACAGATATTTAACGTTTGTCCTATGCATGTTGTACGTTCGTTTATAGTACATTTTATATTAGTTAGGTCCTATTGTAAAATAACGAAGTCTTGTCAATGTGTGGCATGAGTTCTTTATGTCAAAATGTTAAACTTATCATCGTCTGAGCGATCTTGTATTTGGTTCCTCAAAATATATGTTCTATAGAAAAACTATAGAGGTTGTGATATCCTATCGAATGTTATATAAAATGGTAAGTACTGCTAAAATTTTTACATACGTGAACGGATGTCATTTACCACAAGCATTTTGTTTAGAAAATCATTTGACAAAATATAATATCAGTGTCGCTATAGTGGGAGAAAAATTATCACCTCTAGATTTTAATTACTAGAGGGTAAACTCAGATGTGTTAGGACTTAGGAATGAAACTATATAATACATGATATATTGAATTCCACCTGATTATTTATATTTTGTTTGAACACAAAAATATCTAGAGTTTGAATGATTAAGATTAACATGAAAGCAGTCCTTTTCAGGCCTCCGCAGATTGAAAGTTAAATTATTGTGTAGATAGTTATATATGTAAACCATAAAGTCAGACTGTCTTTCATTTATTTAGTTTGACGCATACAATATCCGTATATGTGTGTGTGTGTGTGTGATTCGAATGCATATGTTAATACATTAAATACATTGCAAGACTCACATATAAATATTCACTGTACATATATATTCAAATTGTATCAAATAAAATATTAATTTAATAGATGTAGGTCATCATAAATTCAATATAGCTATAGTGCTTATTTTACATTTGCACATTTTCTATTACTGTTAATTTATATGGTTCAGACGAACATATTCAGAGTTTAACATTTTATATATCCTATACTAAACAGTATGTTTCTGGTCTACATCGATTGTAAGTTAAGTTAATGTGTGAATATAATCCATAAGATACATATCACAAGTTTGGATGCTATAAGTTAACACTAAAAAATAATCCATTTCAGTATTACGTATTTGTAAGACAATCTACTGTAAGTATAGTCATATATTTTAATGTCAAACCTTAATGTCAAACTGTACTGCATTACAATTCGTTAATGTGGTGAATTCAGTATATATCTATAGTTTAAACATTTCACATATAATGCGACGTGAAACAGTCTGTTTCAGGACTATATAGACTGGAAGTTAAATAAGTGTATGGATGTGAGTATATAGCATAAATATCTATAGTTTGAATGTTTTATGTTGATAAAAACATTGTTTTTTTACGTAAATTGTAAGTTAGAACTAATATACTGACAATTATATGAGTAAACTACAAAGTATGCTATACAGATAGCCAACCTATAATGTATGAACTATTGGTTTTATGTGTTCAAACATTTTGATTATAACTGAAATTGAAGTGAAACAATGAATTACAAAAGGTGACATTAATGATAATGCAGAAACTAATAACGTGTTATGAACAATACAGAATGAAATAGTAATATTTGTTGTATAAATTGACATCCATGTTAAGATCTTCTGGTAGATCCCTCGTGAACCACATAACAAAACATCTGCCCATTCTACTTCGTCCAAAACGATCTTGCCCCATAGTAGTACAATATGGAACTATCTGCCCTCTGGTAGCACCCTTTGGAACTACAGGTCAAATGGTGCCACTTTTTGAAACTATGACTACACTTGAAATCCCTGGCCTCGAAAGGTATCCTCTACTGGATTAACTCTCTTGATATTCCCCCTTCTTCATGCCTTTAGGCGCTGACATCTCTTGGGTACAATTTAAACCCCCCAATTACTAGAATACATTACTTTCAACCAGAGCACTAGATTCTGGATCATATTTGCATTCAGCTCTTTTCAATAGCCTCAAAGGGAAAACAAACAAGAGACCTATTTCAACAGCTACCAGTCTCGTTCTTGTGAAAGTTGTGTGTATATATATATATATACACAGTATATATATAGTATATATATATATTATTATTATTATTATAAAACATGGTGGAATTGAATGCCATTCTTGAGGCATGGAAAATAAAAGATGTAAAATGTGTTTAAACGACATTAAAATAGCACAAAAACAGCGAGTATTTCAAGCTTATTTGAGTACTTGATGATACTTCAAGAACTCAGAGGAGAACTCTTTTTTCGGTTTCATACAGGGATTTTTAAACCATATTTCCTTGGTATTCTCTCAACCTTCCAAATAGTATCCAGAACTACCCGCAAGTAGTCCTATCACTTTATTGGTTGATCTGTGCAAATTCCCGGGCTAACCCAGAACCATAACCAAAACTCTCAAGTGATTGGTTACTGTTATGTTGAGTTAGCCGGTTGCCTACCTACTTGTACTAATACACCACTGTCTTGTAAGAGATATGGCATCCAAGTACTGCCTTTGCTCATTAATAACGAATTTTTCGTAGCTTTCTTAGTACTAATGAGTTAGCGTCAGTAACCCAACAACCTGTCATGGGTGCTCGTGCACTTACTCCGTTGCTAGGCAACATCTTTATGTAACTTTCTATGCCACTGACCTAGCTAGCTGAACTTTATAGTTCTCGGCCTCATTTCACAATACAGGCATCTTTACTTATGCCCGTTCTCCATGTACATGTTCACTTAAAACTCTTAAAATTGTTATAACTTTACACTTAAACTCTTTTTAATTATTAAATATGTTGAAGCAATTGCAAAAAATCCCTCAGAAATATTCAATTGCTTCAGACATATTAAGTGATAGCACCTAATTACTAATATATCTTGCTGAATGATAACATTGATAGGTTGATAAGATTTAATGAGTGATAAGGCCTACAGGTAATAGGACTTGCCGAATGATAATATTGACTGGTTGATCAGATTTAGTGAGTGATCAGACCTACAGGTAATAGGATTCGCTGAATGATAATATTGACTAGTTGATAATATTTAATGAGTGATGAGACCCAGAAGTTAATATAACTTGCTGTAAGATAACATTTACTGAATGATAAGACCTACAGGTTAATAAGACTTTCTAAGTGATAAAGTTTACTGAGAGATAAAACATTCTTAGAAATGAATATTACTGAATGTTAAGACCTACTGAGAGATAAGACTTAATACATGATAAAAGTACTGATTGGTAATACTCTTGGGTAATATGACTTACTGAGTGATAACATTTATTGTTAACTAGTAAGTCTTAACATTCAGTAAACTAATATGTCAGTAAGTCTGAACATTCAGTAAATTTACCAATTAGTAAGTCTTGACATTCATTAAATTTACCAATTAGTAAATCTTAACATCTAGTAAACTTAATAATTGGTGAGTCTTGACATTCAGTAAATTTACCAATTAGTAAGTCTTGACATTCATTAAATTTACCAATTAGTAAATCTTAACATCTAGTAAACTTAATAATTGGTGAGTCTTGACATTCAGTAAATTTATAAATCAGTAAATATATCCACACAGAAGTCTAAAAATTTACCCCTACAGTGGAGACCACTCTATTTGTAGGTCGTATTGGTAAATTTTCTGAATGTTAAGACTTACTAATTGGTAAATTTATTGAATGTTAAGACTTACTAATTGGTAAATTTATTGAATGTTAAGACTTACTGTATGCCAAAAAATATATGAGCATCGTCTAATATTATCGGTTATCAAAACCTTAAAGTGAAATTGTAAGTATATTAAAGTCAGTTAAAATAATGGTCAGTGTTTCAAAGTTTTTGTTTAGGTTTGTAAGTGCATGCTTTGGAAATTCAGACTAAACATTTAATCTGTGAAAACGGAACATCACATAAGCATCTTTCACTGAGAACAAGTTTTATTATTTTATATCTCTTAATATCGACCATTGTGTGTAATCTATTCACATTACAACGTACATTTTACTCACTAAGTTTCATAGCAATGCAAACTATGCTTTGTGATAATTTTTAAGTAGAAAAGCATTGTACACATACATGTAAAGTTAAAAACAAAAAACTAGATGGCAGCACCACAAACACAATGACAAAAATCTGAAAGTAAACGAGTATTGGGATAGTCGTTTATAATTGATTGAAATTTATATTGACAAATAATGAGAGCAATATTTGATATATTGAATGAGTTCAACTCGTCAGCTCTTACTGTTACGTTTTTTCCAAGCTTACGCGTTTTTTATTTTCATAGGTTACAAGAATAACGACTGGATTCAGACCCCCGTCTTACCGAAGGATACCGAGCTCAACCTCAACCCAGAGTTCCTCACCGGATTGTTTGCATACTTTCGTAAGTTTCACTTACTAACTATTAACTATTACTATTACAGTCGTCACACAAAACATGGTCGCTCTTTCAGCCGTGGGGGCGTTATAATGTGACTGTCAATCCTACTACAATCCTACTGATTAACAGTGATATCACTGAACCCAATTTAAAAGTTTGTAAGACTGCCAGACCTAGAAGTGTTCACCAGTAATTAGGTAAAGAGGATTCAAAGTTATCTGTTTTGATCAACTTTACAAACTTCTAGTTTAGGTCTAGCTACCTGCTTCTCTATAAAGAAGCAAATACGTTATAAACTTATAACTGTGTCAACTAGCCTTAGATAACTATACTTCAGTTTAGCTTATTTTTGTTAATCAGTCTTACATACTTTTAAATTGGGTTCAGTGATATCACTGTTAATCAGTCTTACATACTTTTAAATTGGGTTTAGCGATATCACTGTTAATCAGTCTTACATATATTTAAATTGGGTTCGGTGATATCACTGTTAATCAATCTTACATACTTTTAAATTGGGTTCAGCGATATTACTGTTAATCAATCTTACATACTTTTAAATTGGGATCGGTGATATCACTGTTAATCAGTCTTACATATTTTTAAATTGGGTTCAGTGATATCATTGTTATTCAGTCTTACAAACTTTTAAATTGGGTTCAGTGATATCATTGTTATTTTAATAGCGAGATCCTAATTGAGAGCTGTATAAGGCTGTTACAGAGATGTAACTGGATCGAAGGTAAAAGTTTATATGTCTGATGAACAGAGATACGGATGGAAAGTTTTTTTATAATTAAAAAACATGTAGCTAGATACGTTTTGGTTTGATTAACAAAATATAACTAGGTGCTAATTAATGTTAACTTCTTATCAAGTTAGACCTCTTTGAAGTCTGGTAAACAGAGATACAGCTGGGCGTTTCTTGGTCTGATTTACAGTGATACAGCTGAACCCTTCTTAATAAGATTAACAGACAGAAGTCTGGGATCACTTTGTGTGATTGATAATGATGTAGCTGAACACTTTTTGGTCTGAAAAAATATTCTGGGTATTTCTATACGTGATAAACAGAGATATCACAGAAGATTTTATAGTGTGATTAATAGGGATATCGCTGGACAGTTCTCGGTATGTTCAACTGAAATATAAATGAGAACTTTTATATCTTGACCTAATTGTAGTGTTCTTGTATCCATATATCCGATTGTTAAGTTCAAGTATCCACAAAACACAAATTCTTGAAATTTTATGCAGAGAATTATTATGAGATTGGACAGCAAAAGAAAACAAAAAACACAAATGAACAAATAAAACAAGACCTTTATTCAGAATAGCGTTTATGTATTTAACTAAATTGGCTGGCTTCTTTATTCGTTCTAACTCAAACTAGCTGCTGGAACTGAAAAGAGGGTTTCTAAGAATATTCGCACAGGACAAGAATAAAGCATAGAATAATGTAATATTGCACTTTCAAGTCTAATGCGGTATCCTACAATCTTTAGATTATCTACCGAAACGAGTGTTCCAAATAACATACATAAGAATAACAAATATCAACTCATACAAACTTCTACAGTATCAGTGTCACCGCCCTTGAGATGGGTTTGCCTCACCTGAGGGAATAGACACTGATAGAAGCTTCTGTGGAATATCCGTTGCATTGTATTCAATATTTACCCAAATATAGGGAGTTGTTCATGTTTGCGACCCGTAGACATTCGGTTTCCAAAGATATCCTTATCTATGTGTCGAACACCTGCACGAAAATTTAAAAATATTGTACGAATATCTCTTACTACAAGTGTATTCGAAATCAACTTTTGGAGGGGTGAAATTCTTTCAAATGTGACATCTAACTGTGTTATAGTTGGACTGCTCTTGATCTGATTAACACAGGTGAAAATTATACATGTCTTAAATATACATTTTAATAATTATAAGTTTTTGCATACTCCTAGTTAGACTGGCACGTTAAATTATTTTCTGTATTAATTCTTAGATCTAATTTGTGCATAAAGCTTGTTTTAAACCTAAGTTATTGCAAGATTAAGTTGCATTGAACTTCAGTGAAATAATATGATTAAATAAGTTGTTTTCCTTGAAAGCTAACAAACTTTAAAGTATCAGTTCTAAATAGCTTAATAACTACAAGTATACTGAGCTGAAGATGTGGTGCAATTAAATATGGACCGAATACAATGAAAAATATCCAATAAACCGAAAAACGCCCAAGTTGTGAAACTGAAAATCACTTGAACGTACCAGCATTGTCATAACTTTAGTTGCAAAAGTGAAAGGGAAGTTTCTCTAGCTGACGTATGTATGAGGATATTCTATCAGTAAAGGTATTCTATCATTGAAAAGGTGCGGGGGACATGTCCCCTATGTTTTCCATGAAAAGTACGCCTTTGCATATCAGTTAAAAGTCTAAATCCAAGATAACACTAGTGATCGTGACGTCAGATTCAGCCCTGCTTCAGTGTCATGGTATCTTGGAGAAATGTGTTGTGTAAAATTAGTATATTATGCAACCTTATAGACAGCATGTTGAGTCAACTATTTAGACGATTTGTGAGTCTGTTTTCCATAAACGAATTGCGTATAAACACCTGAAAATAAAAAGGAAACAACTGTCTCAACATAAAGCGACCATTAAAACAAATAATCTAAGCTAAGAAGCGTACCTTTATTGATCAGATCTACAAGAAATGGAGATTTGATTCTAAAGATTACATTAGACAGTAACGTTTAAGTGGTAACGTTTCCATTGAAATACAAACTTAAAAAGAAAGCTACGCAGGGAATAAATTATTCAAGATCTTTTTGTTAACGAACTTAGCGCTATGGAAACAAGACTTTGGGTACACTCAACGAGGAGATTATGGTGAAACTAGCAAAGAGTCGCAAAACACTTGCTGTTAGATTAGTACTGTTACGACAGCGAAAGTCACGTGACGTTGGGGAACTCCGAGAATTTTGGAGATGCCTCCTCGTTAGCATATAAGCCTGGCGGTGAAACACCAGCGAGTTAAGCGAACAGTGGTTACGGTGAGTTTGGGTAATTTACGATTCTGTTTCGAGCTAGTGTGTGTTTTGCACTCGTAGAGAGCGAAGTTATCGAGGTTGTAGAATCGCTGTGTATTTATAGCGTGTATTATAAA